AGCCATGAAGACGCACTCCAGTACTGGCTAGAAGATTTGTTTTGGTAAGTGAGTGTCATCCATTCTGACTACAGGAGCATCACAATTCAGTTGTGACTGCCTCAATACGATGTGGGCGCTTGGCAATGCCAGCTGGTTGAGTATCTCGGTGTCTAGTCTTGTATTCTGCCGTCAGATGCTTCCAAAGACAGCTCAAATAATAGTGGATGAACATTTTTTTATTCATTCAGGGGATGTATGGGTCACAGGCTGGGCCAGCATTTATTGCCCATTCCTAGATGCACTTGAGAAGGTGGTGGTGAGCTGACTTTTTGAGCCACTGCAATCCATGTGCTGTAAGTACCCCCAGAATATTGTCAAAGAGGAAATTCCAGAATTTTGACATTGCAACACTGAAGGAGTGGTGATATATTTCTAAGTCAGAACAGTGAGTAGCTTGAAAGGGACCTTGCAGATGATGGTGTCCCCATTCATCTGCTGCCTTTGTCTTTCGAGGTGGAAGTGGTCATGTGTTTGGAAGCTGCTGTTTAAAGAACCTTGGTGAATTTCTGTAGCGCATCTTGTGGATGGTACATACTGTTGCTACTGAGAGTGGAGGGCATTGATGTTTGTGGATGTGGTGCGAATCAAGCAGGCTGCTTTGTCCTGGATGGTGTCAAGTTCATTGAGTTCTACTGAAGCTGCAATCGCCCAGGCAAATGAGGAGTAATCCATCATTCTCCTGACTTATACCTGGTAGATGGTGGACAGGCTTTGGGGAGTCAGGAGTTGAGTTAGTCGCTGCAGTATTCCTAGCCTCTGACATGGTCTTGTAACCACTGTATTTATTTGACCAGATCAGTTCAGTTTCTGAACTGCTTGGCATAATGATGGTACTCAGTCTGTTTCGTACGTCTGGAGTAGAGTAGGCAGAACTATTGCTGAGACAACAAGGTGCAGGGCTGGATGAACACAGCAGGCCAAGCAGCATCACAGGAGCAGAGAGGCTGATGTTTCGGGCCTAGACCCTTCATCAGAAAAGGTAACATCTGTGGGTTCTCCGATAGTGGCCTCATGGCCAATGGCGGCGGACCCATTGTGGGGAAGGTCCTGGGTACGGCTGGGGATTTGGGGGGTGGAGGAAGCCCGTTTTGGGTGGTAGGCACCAGTAAGTTTACTGTACTTACGGTTTTTAGTGTCCAATAAAGCTGAGTAGAATTGGGAGTTCAGGTTGTGGATCCTACGTAGAATAAAAAACAGGAGAGGTCCTTTGCAGGTCTGGGAGAGGGAGGCTCTGAGCTGGGGTAGGCTTGATTGTAGTGCCTGGAGATGCCGGCGCATTGCTGCAAGTGTGTGTTTCAGGAGTCGCAGGGAGAAACGCTTCTGAAGGATCTCAACCCCATGAGTGTAGATATTATCACGGTTGGGGCCAAATTGGGAAGGCTTGAATGTGGATTGTAGTCCATTGGGGATGATCTGGTTCCGTAGGCAGGTGCTAAGGAAGGTGATGTGGCTGTAGTACCTGGTTTGCTTCAGGACGTGGTCGAGCAGTTTCAGGGCCGAAGAGATTACGAGAGAGTTGCACTGGGAGAGAGATCCCTTGAGGTTTGTCCGGAGGGAGGAGGGTAACTTCTTCAGGTTAGGCATCCTTAGAAGCTGTACAGTTTTCAGTTTGATGGTCAGACTGATGTTCAAAGTCCGCTGAAGCCTACACGAGCATGTATCTCATCATCAATACAGACAGCCCAAGGGACTGAAGCTGAGTTGAGAAAGACTAAGTTGAAAGTCATCTCCACTCTGCCTCTTCTAACTTCTGTTTGCACACTCAGGACTTTCTACACCCTCTGTACAACAGGTGACTAACAAACAGTAACAGCTGTCATTGTGGAACCAGCATAGAGTTACTTCTGGCTAAACTTACATTATTAGTTGATTTTACACAATATTCCAAAGTTAATTAATTGAATTAATAATGCTTATCACAAGTTGCTCTGAGAAGATTCAGATGTTCACAGATTGCTTTATCAGGTATCAATAGCTTTTCAAAGCTTGCTGAATTGTGAGGTGGCCAGAACTGGTCTGGAAATAATGTTTCCTTTGATTTACCTCCCTCTGTGAGGAGTGAGAAGGAATGCTTATTCTGTTTGAAGGAGGGACCAAATAGAGTAAATCAGTTCAACTTATTTATAAAACTCCTTCGTTTGGAATGGCCATAAAGAGATTGTCCACCATTAGCTGTTCCCCTGCCATTATTTGCTGTTCTCTAAAGCGAATTACTGTTTGAAAATGACTGGGCAAACACCCAGGGAGAACCAGGTCAGTCAGTTTGAGGAGTGAAAGTACAGGATTCCCACCTGCTGGATGATAGGACATTGAAGGGGCAAATACATGAAGTAGGCATTTTGCAAATCCTGGCTACATTTAATATGCAATCGTTTCATTGACAATTTGCTATGCATGCAGAATGAAGGTGTTTGGGAGATCAGATGCTGGTCAAAGGTGATATACACAGTGCGTGGGTGCTTGTAAAATAAACATTTGTCTTCTCTTTGAAGGTGACGTTAGCAGCAATGTCATTACAAAAACCCAGTGCTAGCCAAAAGTGAACCAGTATTCATGCATTGTCCAAGGGTGCTGTGGGAATCTTCATCATCTGTCATCTAAGTTTAATAATAGTCTATACTGAATGCAGTGACAGGTGGAATGATTGATGTGGGTCTGGAATAGGAAGGGATTCAGAGTGCACCCAGGTCAGTAATCTGCTGGCCACTCATCCAGTACAGCATCTTTACCATGTTGTTGCACATGTGGAGCCTGAAGCTGGATGAATGATGAAGACATATGGGTGCAGCATGTCTCACTGTGTGCTCAGCCCTCACCTATGCAATATGCTAATGACTTATCTGACATATAAGATCCTCATTCATTCCTGATGTTCCCAACATAGGCCATTTCTAGCAGGGGTCCTGTGCCAGATGCTGATAGTCTTTTAGTCACTTTGGGTGCCTTCCTAAGAAGGCAAAGGTAGATGCAGGAGGAGAAGGGTTCGATAGCAAAACTGGGAACAGGAGTAGGCTGGCAGGAGGACGAGGAGCATCTACCACAGGGAGTGGTCGCATTAGTAGGGCCCTTGGAGGAGGCCCAGAATTTTTGAGCTCCAATACTATTTCCTGAGGCTGAACAAGGGGCAATGCCAATACAGGCTCCATATGTGCTCAGACACAGTGACAGAACTGTGTCAGAGGCTGGAATGAGATCTGAGGGCTGCAGGAATGGGAGGCTATCTTTTACCGGGGGCTGTGAAGGTGACAGCTGCCTTGAACTTCTATGCGACTGCTTCCTACCAGGGAGTGATCTTTCAGTTGTACTCCCACAAATGTATCAGAAAAATAATCAATGCTATCTGTGCAATATCACACCGGATCATTTTGTTACCTCATGACAAGGCGATGTTCCCCTCCTGGACAAGCTGCGGCTCTACACTAGGCACTAGGGACAGAGTAGTGGTGATTTAGAGAAGATGACTGGGCAGAATGTAGCCAAGGACAGGTAAAATGTGTAGTTTCTTGTTTAAACTGACTAGGGTGAGAGAATGGGGTTGTATGTGCAAGGGAGGGTCAGCCATGCTGGCTGTGTGCTGTGAGTAGTGTGACTTTATGTCTGCTGTGCTGTTACATCACTGGTGAGGAGTGATGCTGAATTGCCAACACTCATTCATGTGTGCAGTGGCATTTTGACAATAGTGCAGACACAAAGTATGCCAATCTTTCAATCAATACTCACTGAGTAGTGAATTGTTCTAGGAACAGTGCATGGTAAAATGGGGCTAGAATCAGAAGTGACAGACACTATTAGGTGGATTGAGTAATAAATAAGGAAAGTTTATTAAGATATACCAAGAAAATTCACAAGGCCTCATGGTGAAAAACCTTCAAAATATCGATGTAACTTGGACTTAACTGGCAAGTTTCTGATACTAAGCTACATACCATCTAATATATAATCAGCAACATTCCCTTTGTTAATTCAAATTTTCTTGTGACCACTGGAGTAGCGAGACAAAGAAAACAATCAGTTTATCCCTCCAAACTGAGTCGTAACTGTATTATTGTCTCACTGCCTTTGATTGTTTCTTGTCATGTAGTTTTCTTTGATCTCTCATTGAACACGTGGGAACGTTGGAGTTAATTTTCTGAGTGCACAGTAGCATTGGGAGTCCTCACCAATGGACAAACTGAAGGTAGTGCAGCTGTGATTTTCCTGTTCTCCTGAAACTTCTTTCAGGTGGCACATACTTAGAGGATCATTCCATCTTAGTATTATCTTTTGCTCTTCCATGCTTTTGTTGTGTGAAATGAATCTGTCAATTAGATTGAATATTTTCGCTCCCTTGGGATAAATGAGCATGTTTTATGATGATTTGATGTATCTCTTATATTAATAACCCAACACTTTAATGAGTTTTATTATCGCAGCTTTCTTTCATTAGTCGGGTTTTAACAAAATAAGAGATGCAGAATGAAATTATTCTGTGATTAAATCTAAACATTCAAAAGAGTTGTTATATTCTAATTGAATTTGTTTAAAAAATGTCAGGAGTATTACAAATGCAACTAATGCAACTGAGATGCTTATGGATGAAGCATCAGTATCTCACTAAAGACCTTGCACTTAAATAGCTCCTTTCACATCAAAGTATTTCCCAAATAATGAGTTACCTTAGAATGTTAGTGACCTTTTCTTAGTAGGAAATATGATAGCTAATTTGTACAGAGCAGAATATGGAGAAAGCGGAGGGGAGGATCCCACATCTCCAACGTAACACAGCGCTTTCCACGGGAATCACCCCACCTTGAACTCATAAAACGTCTAATGCCTGAGTCCTCAAGGACTGAGAGTGACTTATCAACTGCAGGGTATTTTTTAAAACTCTTCTGGCATTAATTAAAAGTAGTGAAAACAGCAACACATTAAAGCTAGTTGACAAGGTGTTCAGTTATTTTGCAAACATTTATGTTTACCTGGTCTACAAAGCCATTTGCAAAAGACAAATGCGGAGCTGGATAAGAGGAGAAAATTTGTGCTGTTGCATTTTGACCAGTTATTGCCAAGTTCCCACCATCAAAAGCCATGAACGCATCTAAAAAGAGCATAAAGATTATTGCAACATGCAGCAATTTCCACTTCTTAAATACAGATGTAAAAGTTAAAGACTTACCATAGTAAAGTCCAAAAACGGCTGCTGAGCCAATAAAAGCCCCGACAAGCTGAGAAAAGCAGTAGACTGGCAGTTTCAACCACTGAAGCCGTCCAAGAACACACATAGAAAGGGAAATAGCAGGATTCAGATGTGCTCCTGAAACAATAGTGGACACATTTACAGTTTGTGGGTCAATAGCCATGATATTCCATGCATTAACCTAATGGCAATTATATGCTCAAATCTCTATAGTGTGTCACTTGCGCCATACTTACTTGCCTCCTATAGATTACTGAGAATCCACAGAGAAAAGAGAGGTCTCACAATACTAAACATCAGTAAAATAGAAAATGAACAACTGTATGTTGTTAAAGCTTACAAAGGAGTTAATCCCAATATTCTTACATATTATTACAGCACTACCCTCATATTGTATTGTCTCTCCAAACTTGGAATGGAAATTTGGGTCCTCAATATACGATAGATGGATAATGACCGTAACAGCTCAATTATATTTCAAATGGTCCAAAAGAACCAAAACCTAAATACCATATATTAAAAAGTGTCCTTATAAATTTAATCAATGTAGACAGAAATTTTTCAATGTAGATGGAAAGTTCAAAGTTTACAAGATATCAGACAAGATTATCAATGATACAATTAAAATCTCATGGGTCTGTTTAAAACAGCACATTCTGTCTGGAAAATGTGTTCCTGACACATCACACTTACTGTATAAATGTTACTCAGCCCCTTGAGGGAAATAGAAGTCTCACTTATAAGATAAATATGGAACCTCTGGCAAATCAAGTTAGCATTCCCAAAGGACTGTGTAGAGGTGATAAGTGCTTGGTTAAGCTTTTTTGAATCGTGGGAAATGAGAATTCTGACACTGATTGGGGTCTGCTCATCTATTCCCAGCTCTGACAGCACCAATAATACACTCCACCAAAATGATGGTGAAAGCTACTAATTAAGAATCCCAAAGTTAGGATTTTGCTCAATTTAGCCAAACAGTACAATTAAACAGCATGGCATTGTCTGGAAGAATCCAAGACTGAATTTTAATAGTAGAAGATAATTCATGTAGGTAACTTAAATTCAATTGAATCTACTACTGACTGACTTTTCATTAAAGATACAGACACAGCTGCAACCAACTTTCTAGGAGCTTCAATATATCCCGAGAGAAATATATTTCCCCCTCCCCCCTCGTCTACTGTCGTACTCATTAGTTTTCTTCTTCATTTTCTTTCTACTCTTTCAATTTGTTTTCTCTATCACACTCATTTTGGTATTTCCTCGCTTTCTTCCTCATGCCTGTACTGTAACCATTGAATTCCCTCTTATGTGTCATCCCGTTCTTGCTGTTACTGCCATTAGTCATTGGTATTAGTCATGGGTCATCAACACTACCCACCAGTGATACCAGCTGCTGGTATCAAAGCTGGTGCAAAGTAGTAGAGATATGAAATGCTTCTTGTGGCCTCAGGAGATTGTTTTGATCACAGTGTGACAGCAAATCCTGTCAACAGAATGGGAATCCTCGGCCTCCTGGCTTACCTCTCTGTATTCTCCTGCCCATTCATTAGCACCTCATTAAATTGGATCCCACTCCCACCAACTTATCTGGCACCAATGTGATTTTAATCCTGAATGTACATCTCATGTACATTTCCAGACCTGACAACGATAACTACAGAGAAAATATGGATCTCCCTTCCCCCAACCCATTTCCCTCAGCCCCTCTTCTCTGACCACTTGGTGTTAGATACTGTTCCACTTGAAGAAATCTGTGCTATATAAAATCCTACTCTTATCTGTTGGCCAGGGTGCCTTGTAAAAAGAAATCCCTTGACCAAATATGGGACAGAAGCATTTTAGGTGCTTGGGTGCGTGAGAAAAACATTGCATACATTTTCCTTTGTTTTCTACCCAGGAAACCGGAACAACAAGGATTAATTTCTGTCTGTTATATCTGGATTGTGTTGTATCCAAAGTGATCAATATGGGCTATAGAATGGAAAGGTAGAGAAAGTTCAGTTTCTGAAAATGTTATCCTTAGATTTACAATGTAAAGTCACCATAGTCCCAGAAGACTATAGGACTGTTCTCTCTTTAAACATAGAGACAACTGGTGGTGAGTTTAACCTGAGGGTACCAGGACTTAGGTGAAAGGGGAGATTGAGAAGCCTTAGATTTATAAGTACCTGTTAAAGAATAGGTGATGGCCTAGTGATATTATTGCTAGACTATTAATCCAGAAACTAATGCCTGAGAACCAGGGTTCAAATCTTGCTATGGCAGATGGTAGAATTTGAATTCAGTTTAAAAACAAAATCTGGAATTAAGAATCTACTGATGACCATTAAACCATTGTCAAATGTCGAAAAAACCCACCTGGTTCACTAATGTCCTTCAGGGAAGGAAATCTCCCATCTGCACCTGTCTGGCCTACATGTGACTCTAGACCCACGGCAATGTGGCTGATTCTTAATTAGGAATGGGCAATAAATGCTGGCCAGCCAGCGAACCCTTGTCTCATGAATGAATAAAAGAAAATGTTGATAGTATTTTTTGCTAAGCCCATCCCCCATCACTTGCCCAATCTCTCCTGCCCTTCAAACACCTATAGGAAGCAACATTATTCAACGACAGTCTCAGTTCACTTTCCTAGCTCCATTTCTAACATCACCTCTTCCACTTTCTTTCATGTGGAATGCCTTAATTGGAACATAGAACATAGAACAGTACAGCACAGTACAGGCCCTTCGGCCCACAAACTGTTCTGAGGAAGGGTCACCGGACCTGAAACGTTAACTCTGATCTTTTCTTCACAAATGCCGCCAGACCTGCTGAGCTTTTCCAGCAACTTTGTTTTTGTTCCTGCTTGTTTTCTGTGTTTTAGTTGGCCTTGATTCCATAAATTCTCAGTGGCACACTGTAGTCTGATATAGTCTTGCCTGCTATGATAACCTCTGTTATTGATAATTGTGTGCATCACAAAATGTCAGAACATATTCAACCTCCTGCTCTAAAGGTTGGCCATGCTAAATTGCCCATAGTGTCCAGGGATGTGTAGGCTATGTGGATTAGCCGTGGGAAATGCGGGGTAAAGGGGTGGGTCTGGGTAGGATGCTCTTCGGAGGGTTGGTGTGAACTTGATGGGCTGAATGGCCTGCTTCCACACTGTAGGGATTTTATGGGGTGGCACGGTGGCTCAGTGGTTAGGACTGTTGCTTTATAGCACCAGAGACCCAGATTCGATTCCACCCAAGGATGACTGTCTGTGTGGAGTTTGTACATTCTCCCCGTGTCTGCATGGGTTTCCTCTGGGTGCTCCGGTTTCCTATGGGTGCTCCGGTTTCCTCCCATAATCCAAAGATGTGCAGGTCAGGTGGATTGGCCATGTTAAATTACCCACAGTGTCCAGGGATGTGCAGGCTACATTGATTAGCCATGGGATATATCGGGTTACAGGGATAGGATAGGATAGTGTAAGGGATGGGATGCTCTTCGGAGGGTCAGTGTGGATTCAGTGGGCCGGATGGCCTGTTTCTACACTGTGGGTATTCTATGAAAGGAAACCAATATGGGTCTGAAATTCCACACACATCCACCAATGGGACCAGGCTGGTGGGGTGAGAGGAGGGTGTGTGTGTCTGTGTGTGTTTGTGTATGGGTGTGTGGGTTTGTGGTTGTCTGGATAGCTTTCCCATTTTCATTCTGTCCACCATTTTACAGCAGACTGACTTGCTACCATAGTCTCAGTTGAGACACTTATGTGAGCCCTTGATGACTACTTATGGGCCATTTCCTACTGGACTTCAGTTGTCAGACTGGCAGGAGCTGTGGGAAGGCCACAGTTGTGGGATACTTCCTTCAACAGCTGCTTTCCACATTAGGCACCCATCACCCACAAGGTTAGCTCCCTGCACATTCTCGTACCTTCTGTATAACACCATCTCCACCCTATCACAGCCTATCAGGAACCCTAGCCCTTGATGCTCACCACACCCTTTGGGCCTCACCGCCTGTCTCTCGCTTTCACACTTATTGGTACAGAGCCCTGGGACTTTGAACCTAAGGACTGCCTGTAGTCGCAGCCACTGGCACTGTTAGGTCTACTGAACCTTTGGTCAATCAGATCAGCCTTGGAGGCAGTGATGATGGAAGCTCTCTGGAAGGTGAACAAATCATAGAGTCATACAAACCCTTCAGTCATACCAGTCCATGCCGAACATAATCCCAAACTAAACTAGTCCTACCTGCCTGCTCCTGGCCCATATTCCTCCAAACCTTTCCTATTTATGTACCTATCCAAATGTCTTTTAAATGTTGTAATTGTAACCACATCCACCATTTCCTCAGGACGTTCATTCCACACGCGAACCATCCTCTGTGTTTAAAAAAATTGCCTTTCGTGTCCCTTTTAAATCTCTCTCCTCTCACCTTAAAAATATGCCCCCTAGTCTTGAAATTCTGCATCCTAGGGGAAAGACAACTAGCATTAAGTCTATGTATATAAATGGAAAAGGATACCATAACTCAGAAAATACAGAAGGGTGTGAAAACCATGCCTTTGTACCCTTACAATTTGGTCTACGCTCTGAGGGTGTGGTTGCTCCATACTATTTCAAAACACTATTGTAATAATTGAAACAAACTCCTCACACCGAGGGGTTTATGTTAGTTTAGCAATGTCAACTTGCATTTATATGCTACATTTGACATAGTAACATTTCCCAAGTCACTTCACAGGAACTTTAACAGAAAGAAGAATGACATTAAGCAATATATGGAGATATTAACATAGATGGAGGTGGATTTCAAGGAATGTCTTAAAGGAGGAGAAATAATTAGAGAGGTAGTGAAACTTAGGGAAGGGATTGCAGAGCCAAGGGCCCAGACTGATCGAACTCTGAAAACCAGGAATATGCCAGAGACCCGACTCAGAGGATTACAGAGATCTCAAAAGAATTGGAGGACTTCACAGCGAAGTGGGTGGTGGGTGCACGGAGGGAGTTGAAAACAAAGATGCAACCATAAAACAGAGAGTATCTACCTTTGGACTCTGCTGGTTTCACCCCCAGGGAGCTCCAGGGCAGTAAACTAAAACTCACAGCACTTTTATCCTACATTAGTTCTGCTTGTCT